CTTCCATCAAAAGGACCAAAAGAGATGGAAGGAGAGAATTCATTGTTTTTTCTTTGCCGTCGCCAGAAGGCGAGACTCAAGCCGTGTGATTTTCCTTTGTAAGTGCCATAGCCATGAGCAGCCATGCAATGGATGCCAAGAAGGTACGTCGTCAAGAGATGTACCCGCCTTTGAGTGCCGATGAAATCGACACAGCAGCAAGGCTGACCACTCGAGCCATCATGAACGGTCAACAGAACCAGATGTTCTTGATTGTTGGATCACTGGATCCCCGTGCTGAAGCTTGGATGATGGAGAAGACCCGGATCTACCAAGGATATGGTGGAGCCATGAGCGAGTCCGTGAAGCGCCCGCTCGATTTCAGCTTACTGGAGGATGCAGAATCCACAAGCCCATCGTCGGCATGGAATGAAGTGTCGTTGACGAGTGCCCGTGCATACCATGATGGACCAAGTGCCTCTGTTCCCATGCCCACGTCAAGTGGAGCCCTTCGCATGCCGGAGACCTCAGTCGAAGATGAGGACATGTCGGTCGAGCTACCAGCTGATGTGCATGATGTTGGAACATGGGGAAAGACCATCGTGAAGATGGAAGCCTATGCTGACCGCAACTGGCGGTACCGTCAGATTGTGGAGCAGGCCAAGTCGGACAAGAAGGTCCATGGATATTTGAGCTGGATTGTGAAGACCTATGGAAAAGAAAAGAGTGGACCCGTGAAGAATCAGGCCACCGACCTTGCTCGATTCCTGTTGCGCATTCGCTGGACCGATTCCAAGGCAAGCTCCCTTGTCGGCTTTGAACGACAGATGTGAAGGATTCGAAGCTGCATATGAAAGCCCCTCTCGGACAGAGGGCGTGTGAAATTGCCCTTGGAGTGCATTTCTTGTCAGGTGTCCTCACGTGGCCATATTGGCTGAAGGCCTTGAGCCGTTGTTCGGCTTGATCGGAAAAGGCGCGTGCCGCTATGTCGTGAGGTCTAGTGACCTAGGACCGGTTGCAGTTGATTGTGATCTACATTGACATTGAGTTGTTGGGTATTTGCTGCTACCAGTTCCGCAGATATTATGTGACAATGTATTTTAGTTAATTATCTAATTGTATTATATTATTACATATTGTATTATATTATATATTATATCGAATTATCTAAGTATATTCTAATTGTCTATCTATCTACTGTATCTATCGATCTATCCAAGCACAACTGGTGCCGTTTTTTCAGTTCTGGCACAGCTGTGGGACCCGCCGGGTCGGTCGGGTTTCAGCGGGGCGGTGTGGTGGTCCAATCCGATGGTCTTGTGCGTTCGATCGGCGCCTTCCCAGTCAGGACCTTGCCGCAATGCTTGGGGCACTGGCGCTGCTCCAGGAAGACCTGGTTTAGGGCATCTTGGGGCCATGAGTGAGTGCGTCATCCATGTTTATGAGGAGGTTTCTCAAGCAGTCCAAGTCCTCGCTCTGATTTATATCACGCTAAAGGGCGACACCTGGCCGCCCACGTGCCCGGACGGTCGAGGCGAAGGTGTGAGCCAATCGGAGCCAAACTTTGGAGGAAAGTCGCCGGTCGTGTGGCCTACACCTACTAGAATTACTAGAAATAGCCGATAGCCGGTCATAGAATTGTCAAGCGTTGGAATCAAACGTCTACAAGATCGTCGCGTCCCAGGCAGGAACTTCGGCTGAGTTGAGGTCCAACATATAGCTCTGATGAGTCCATGCGGAGTCAAATCTCGGCCCAGTCCATTTACAAAACATCACAAAGCCCACATACCTGGAATTCTGGATTTCACCGGGCCTGACCTGGATTTCACACCAAACCCACCCAAAACCCATGATTCAGACTTGATTTAGATTGATATCCACCCCTGTGCAGCACCACTACCTCGCTACGCGTTGCTACATACGTGGCTGTGCCACGCCGTTTCAGGATATCTATTGGGATCTCTCAGGACTGCAATGTTTACAAAAGGAAGAACTCACGACATCAGCTCTCTGCCTGCCTTCATGTGCCTCACTTGCATAAGTCCTCAACAAGGCCTCATAAGCTAATTGTTGTGTCTATCCGCTTCCTTCCATTCCCTATCCTTTTAGGCCGCCCAACTGCGTGAGCCGCTGTGTTGATGAAGTCGCCGATGCCAAAGTGTTTCATGGCACAATGCAAGCCGGTGGGCCATTCGTAAGTGCTGTCTATGTAAATCATCGCAAGTGGGTCATGGCATCCCGGTGTTCACCATGAATGACTCAAGATGACTCAGGGATTCTGGAGCTGTTTTGCCCCATGGAAGAGCGGGTACCGGCTTTCAGCAATCAAATGGGCTCGGACGCAGGTTTCGATCTTATGAAACTCCTCGAAAAGAACAAAAACATCTTGCTGCTCTGCATGGTATCGAGCTTCTATTATGCCAAAGAGCCGACAACACAGCGCCCCAACCTGGAAATTCGGCGGCCAACACCCAAGCACCGCCCAAGCAAGCACCGCCCCACGTGCACCCCAGCACTGCTGGCGTCCTCCTTGGGAGTTCGAAGGTAAATGAAATGGAATGACACGGAATCCATGTTGACTAAGTTGGCCAGGTAGTATGATGTTTGTGCCAATAGTGGTTGATATGCGTTGATCTTTCACAAAGAAAAAAATGTCTTGTCTTTTGAACTATGGCTCAGCCATCAGAGTGTGACAGTGTCAAATGGGCAATCTGATGTTCAGAACGCCCACTGTATCCATGCTTATCCTAGCTCTCACAGGCGGGAAAAACCAATGACTCATTGACTACATTATTCACCTTGACAAACAAGAGGTTGTCCACTTTCATGTTTGTTGGAGGGAGGGTTCTCTTCAACCATTTCTTCCTTCAGGCTCTTCAGGAGAGCTGAATCTTAGCTTCACCCAGCTGCACATAGCTGCTGCCTCACCATCAGCCCCGGCACCTGAATCACCTGCTCCAAATGTGCTACTGTCACCAGCCACAACTCCTCCCCTGTGTGGATCATGTGCGTGCTGCACGCGGCACTGCATGCGCTGCACGCGCCGCGGGTCCAGTCCATTTTTCGCTTGTTGCACTCATTGGGGCAAGCTGCTGTGATTGCATTCACGCCTACGCGAATTGCAGGCTACCTACGCCAACATCAGGCGTAGGTAGCCCCGGGGCAAACGTTAACACGTCATATCACCATTGGTGTTGGGGCTCTGCGGCTCTCACGAGCCCTTCGAACTGCACTCATGTATTCCCGCTTGATGCAAGTCCTTCACCGGCAAAAGCATTGGTTGAGGGTGTTGTTGATGAAGCCGCGGAGTGGTGCATGCCTCTCGAGGCCTTCGATCATCGCCAAGCACTTTTAGGTTCCTTGCAGTTTAGGAGCGCTCAAGAGTTACACGACTTGGAGTGGTTATGTGCATGCGCCATGCGCCAATCATCTTGGTTGAGTCTGGTTCGAGCTACACACTACCTGTACAGTATTAAGAGCTTCTTTGATTTTTTTGGAGGCTGCCCTGTTCAGGAATTACCAATGTGACCTTATAGAGGTAGCCGTTGACACTGTTATTTTTTGTTCAAACGCAATTGCAACGCGATTGCAACGACATGACAAGTTGAATAGCCGATGACATCCCCCAACAAAAAACGAAACTATAATATATATATATATATATATTATATATATATATTACTATGCTACTTCCCTACTTCATGCTACTTGATTCATCCAATGCCACATGTCACTTCGCTTCCGCTGACCCAGCGATTCTTGAAGGCTTTCGATCGATGTGGGCTGTCCTATCTCGGTGTGGGGCAGTGATTGCGATGCTTTCGCGACCAGCCACCCCAGCAAGATCGAAGCCCTGAATTCACCTGACTACTGGCTGCAAGATGAGCCTTGGTCGGACCATCCTGGAGCATGTGAAACCCGGAGCCGGCGTGTGCTGGAGCCGAAGCGCTGGAGCCGGTGCTTTGGGAGGCTTCCCTGTGGAATCCTTCGTCTGTGTATCTCTGAATGTCACACCATCAGGGTTTCAAGAAGAACCATGGATACCATGGATATGTGAGTGACATGACATGAACTCACCACCTTTGTGTTCTGTGTGTTTAGGCTTCAGGCCTTGATGTCACAGCCAGTGGCCCACATGGCGAGGATGTACCGCTCACCCAGCGCGGGACACGCGCGGCACACTCACTGGTACAGAACCTGGCGTCAAAGGCCATCCAACGTGAGGATTTCGGACCGTTCTTCGATCGAAGTTCCACTGGAACCATCTGAGAAGAGTCCACGGAGGTCGGAGCCTCCCCTGAGTCAGCCTCCCCTGACGTGAACATCCAATCTCCATAAGTATCCCAAACACTCCCTGGCATGGGACGTTCGCATATTGACCTACACTGGCTTCAAGGGAAAAACCACTCCAACTGATCGGACAATAGGCCGACGTCCCTCATGGGGTCGTCCGGTCTCTTCTTCCATGGGCCAAGGAGTCGACGAAGGAGTTGACGTCCTCGTCCGGCTCTCACCGTCTGCCCCGACGTTGAAGAAGAATCACTCACATGACTCATCTGCTGGGCCGGCTGGGCCGCTTCGATCATGATTACTAGGTGAACGGTGTCATTTGTTTGTGACACATGTTCTGCGCGATCCGGCAAGCACATGCTTATGCAGCTGCACGAACCTGCCTTGTTTTGACTTGCAAATGCTCCAGAACTGCAGGTGGGACTGTCTTTGCGCAACTGAAGGCAATGATAGACCAATTTGCCATTCAAAGGTGGGGTGTATCATCTGGTGTGTCTTCTTACAACATATCGTTCTTCACCAGGCGGGGGGCCATTCAGAAGCAAAACACTGTACACTCAACCTTCTCAGCCCCTGGCTTTTGGGCGCACACCGGGGCATTCCCCAGTGTCGCAACAATCCGCTGTACAAAACGTAAGCTGTGGAACAAACATAATCGACACACATCAACATAATTTCTGAAGTCAATCAAATCCCGGAAAGGCCTTAAGATTGCCAAAGTGGGTGTCGCCTCAGCCGGTGCAGCCCTTCACTTGTGCAACCTCCTGGAAGAGGGTCAGGTACCGCTGCCATAAGGCCTCAGCCGCCTCAGGATGCTTCTCCACTGGGTTGATGTATTGCACGTCGAAACTCATGACTGATGCCAGTAGTGCCTGCAGGCCAGCTGATTGAGGCTGGAGCGACTGGAGTCCAAAATCTTGTTGAAGATTCAATGCAGAAGCTCCAAAAATGGATTCCAACTACAGTGTATATGCAACATGTTCTTTTTGTTCAATGCAGCATGCAGCATGTTGTAAAGGCACCTTGCTCAGAAACCATGCTACCATTGAACACTGAGTGTGGCAATTATTGAGCGGCAAACGAACTGGCATCCCTCTGCATCTTTGGAGAAAATCTATTTTGTTGAAGCACCCATTGGAGTTGGAGGAGGGGGATATCGTAGAAATAAGGAGTGACAGCTGGAGAACTAGTAACGAGTATGCTGCTTACCTCATGCCTCATGCTTGTGTTGTGTCGTAGCATCCGCCGCCTCTGGTCCGGGTTTCCTGATATCTGTGAGGTGGCAAAGCCCCATGCGTGCACCTAGAATCTAGAAGACTCCCACGGACAGTGCTGGGCATCTGCCAGGATGCTGACTCCTTGCACTGGTGATAATGCTTCACCCAATCCTTGGTCAGAGAGATGATTCCAAAAACACTTCGGAAGTCCAAGGCTAGCAGATTTCAATCAGAAGGTGTTCTGCCATCTTGGCTATTGCAGCCATACATCTCTCTGCCTGTTGCTGTTGCATACTTTCTCATAAGCCCAAAGGAATGTGTTCACCCGAGCTTCGAAGGAGGGATCAATGGACATGGAGCTGGCCTCCTTCAATGCAGGGATGTAGACCTTCCCGTACGATCGGACATGGTATGTCATGTAGGTCTACCACTCCAGTGGGCCATCAGAGGTGACGTAAAGCACCAGTGGACCCCAAGTTGGGCGGTTTGTATGGACCCCCATCTAAATGATAGTACCCAAACACTCCATGTATGCCATATATGCCTACATTGGGGTGGTAGGGGATTTGTGCCATAAATCCATCTTGAAACCACTGAAAAAATCCTAACACGAACGGAGCTGCAACGGGTCGACAGCCGACAGCCGAATCGGCTTCGGAGGATCCGCTGGACATGTCATGCGTCCGCATGGCGGTTTCAACACCAGCTGCTGACCAATCTGCAAATCTGGTTAGGCCAATTGCAATGGATGGATCTAATGATATCTAATTATCGGAATCCAATGAAGGTTGGTTCACGGTGAACCAATGTGACCTATACCAAATGATAGGAACGGAATGAGATGTAGTGAGGTTGCACCGGCAACCGGGGTGAATGGATCGGCAGACGAAGTCCGACTGAGGGACCCAGTGGCTGGGACTCTTGGAACCAACTTCTAAACCAATGTGCACAAAATGTGAATACACAGTATTAAGTATAATACCCAAAGAAGAGACATATAGAATGATACACAAACACACACACACACACATATATATATATATATACATACATGAGATGCGTCACCGACCCCAAATGGCCACATGGACCAAGCAAAGCAAAAGTCTTCTGTAGCAAATCTCAGTTCCACCTCACGGATCAGCATCTCTTCATGCTGAATCCGCTCTTCAGCATTCATGCTTGATCCCATGAGGTAGGCGATGTCATTCAAAGGAGATCGCTCCGTCACAAATTGCCAATCTAGAATGATGACCTTCTCTTGGTCCATCAAGAGGTTGTTGCCTCGTGAAGCTTCCGCAGCTTCGATAGAACTGCATGGGGCAACAACACATTGTTTGGAGACATGTGTGGAGCTTGTCAGTCAAATCCTGTTCTTCCAAGATCGTTCTTCATGGATACCCGGATACCCTGAGTCCACGGATCCCTCTTTTGCTTGCACACCTGGTGTAATATGGGAGTGGACAGCCCCGGTGTTGCCCGAGCGAGGCCAAGCTACACCACAAATCCCCATGAGCGATGGACACATAGACCTCTTCCTCTGACCATAGGACTCGTCGCAGCCGCTCCTCAAAGTCCTGGCCATGGGACTGGGATGGCCTGACATCTGGTAGGTCAAACAGGTGCTTACAAATGATCCTTTTTGGGGAAAAGGTTGAAAAGGAAACGGATGGAAACGGGTTTCATATCGTTTACTTACCCTGTCCATCCCAGATGCCAGTCCACCAGTACCCACCAGTGAGCAATGGATCAATAACTTGTCACGTAGATGGTTGCCTCCCAATTTGGACGATGGACGATATCCCTCAAAGGCCACAGGTAAGGGGGCAATTCCTCAATGAACCGAATATAAACCCTTCACCTGCAAGAAGGCTTGAGGCTAGCATAAGCACGACTCAAATCATGTGTCAGTTGGCCCTCAGCAAGTCCTTCCTGCGACCCAGGCTGGCACTTGCCACCTTCTGAAGTATATATATGAACTGCAAAGACCGCCCCCAACTCTCGGCTCACCCCCCTCAGTAGATAATGTCGAGCTCATCCAATAGCGCACCAAGCTAGTCAGCATATCAGCATATCCAGGAAAATCATCTTCAAAATCAACTGCTAGTCCAACAAAGTCGATATGATCCGATTGCCCCATTGCCGCTACACCACTCGCGCGGCAAGGAGTGCGTTCCCTTCCCCTTTGGTCGGTTCTCCTCGGCCGACATCCAGCTTTTCAACCATTGGATCTCCCGATCGCCTAGGCCTAGGCTGGGTCCTGAGATGAAGGATTCAGGTCTTTGATGGATATGCCTGTGGGTCAAAACGCGGGCACAATCTGATTGACCACCGAAAAAAATCAACTATAAGGAATGTCAGCCTTCCATGGGTTTGGTTGGAGAGGTTTTGACTCACAGCCATATGTCTATGTCACTGGCCATGACTATACATAATATATATATATTGTAATATACAATATATTTATATACATATTTATAGCATTTCTCAAAGAAAGCATCAAGATGCATCAAGTATTTCTCAAACACGACACAGCTGTCCTCGGGTAGAGACAACAAAAGTTTATGCTTGGGATGTCATGTTTCTGGTGTTGTTTTCAAGCCTTCCAGGGGATCTCAGGGTCTTCACCCTTCTTTGTTCAAGGCCCCACGGGCCGAACAGAGTTTTCCTCGCCCTCGCTGTGTGTTCATCCCCGTCTGGGTGTACCCGGTGTACCCAATATACCTCGTGGAATGTGACACCATGCCATGTGGTGCGTCACGATGTTGGACACGCCTTTGAGGCGCTGCAGCACCCTCTGCCCCATATACCTCGTTCGTTACCGGTTTCGTCCGATCGATCTGGGCCAAAGGTCTGCACTTTCGACTTACATCCATCAGCTGGGCGCCACTCTCGGCCAGAAGGTCCTTGCCTCGTCTGCAGGGTTTCTCATATATGAACCTTGAAGCAAGAAACATGGTATGGGTTTTGAGACATGTAGGGCGGTTAGGGCGGTTGTTGTGACATTTCTCGAAGCCAAGAACCCAGATCTATACCCTCAAGCTCTTTTAAGAAGACCCCTGAGACGAACCCAAACAAAACAAAGAACAAGCAGAACAAACAAGGTAAATATAAAAATATCTAAACATAACAAATTGTATGTATATATAAATGACTACTCTTACACTATTACCGCTATTACACGCATTGTATAAAATAAACACGTGTTCAACATGCACTTCCAACGCTCCGAGTCACAGGCCTTCAAGAAATACCTCTTGCATGCATCCGGCCAGCGTCCACACCGCAGACCATGCTCACGAGGAGCGCCGAGGACGTCGTCACGTCGTCGCAGGAGGGCACCGTGGAGCTGTGCGACGGAGCGCAGCAGCGTGGCCATTTGGTGGGTCACAAGGCCCTGGTGGAAGCCTTTGAGGCCACAGGAGGCCCAAACTGAAATGGGAGGAAGATGGAGGAAGGATAGTGATATATAGGGATGTTGAGGTATTGGAGGGGGTGGTCAAATTGGTCAAGTCTCATGCGTCTCATGCCCCCTTCAAGGGAGCAAACCTCAAAGACAGTGTCACAAAAAAGTTGGGCTGTTGGCAAAGCGTAACGGGTCGACGTTGAGTCTTCTCCCGGTGTTTGTGTGCAAATCATCCCTGGCTGACAAAAAGACATGAGTCCGCTTGCTCGCTGAGGAGCCAAGTCGGTGGGTTTTCGTATCACTGAAATCAGTGAAGGTTGGATAGCTGAATCGGGCTGAGAAGCTTGGCTGCTCCATGTCCAAGTGCTCCATCACCAACAGCGACCCTTCGATGCCCAAATCCTCCTGAAGACTCGATTTCTCTGCGCTCTGCAGTCTCGATCTTCTCCCAATCCAACAAGTCAAACCCGTCAGACCCATAGTGCTTAAGGGTTGGGCGAGGAACATCATGCGAACTCTTACCTCAGCCCTTCATCCTTCAGGCTCTTATACCCCCGGCAGAATGTCACTGCTTTCTCCGCAGCGTTCACCGCCCTCACCGCCTCGGCACATGCCTCACCCGATCGTTGTCCCCCGACCGTTCCCCAGGGCCTCCCCATCGGCCCATCTCGGGGCACCCCACGCTCTCACCAAGGGCAGGCCGTTCACCTCGTGTGCCACGGGGTAGCGCCAGGTTCGCCGCAGGTCCGCCAGGTCGCGGTAGAAGGCCACTTCACGGGTATGGAGGTGCAGCTGCGTGATGAACTCGTGCCTGGGTTGCGTGATCGGAATTGTCTGAGGGCACCAAAACAGAGTCCTGGTCCACCATTGGTTTTAAGGTGTGCGAACAACGAGTTATACCATTAGGACTACAAAGCCAGGCCAACTAGATAGCTCAGCTATGAATAATGCTCTGCCTGACATCATTATGTCATTTCAGGTGTGGATTTCAATCAACTGAGGTCCTGAGCTTTCCAGAACTTGCTAACGGAGCAGTGTCTCCCAAGATCAAGCGAATCAGTGAAGCTCCGAAGTAGAAGTATGGACATTGCCGGATTCTGAACACAATGGATAAAATATGATAAAACAAATCTATCGTGTAGTGCCTGTATTACGCTTTTGTCCCATATCTGGTTGCCAATACTGTTCAGTAAGTCACCGATGTGTTTGTTCTTTTATGTCTCGCACTCCCAAACCAAAAAGCAGCAATCACTACTAAAGCAAATCCACTGGTCACGCAGGATGCTCAGCGGCAGGAGCTGCCTTAGTGGGCAACTGGATGGCCTTTTCAAGACACAGGTTACTGACAGGTTCCTGGAAATGGGCTACACGAGCTCTAAATTTCTGCCTAGCCCTATGTCGAAGAACAGTCTCATCAATGCCGCGCTAACTCAAAAATAACCTTGACGCCATCTTGCGGCACAAACGCCAGAACCTCTTTTCTGTCTTGGGTGAGGTTGTGACTGGACCATAAATCGCAAAGTTCCTTGAACTATCTCGAACTCAAGCCTCAAACAATGTCGAGCCTTGCGGACACGACATGGAAACGACTAATCCTTTGTGGACAAATAATCTCGTTCAATTGTCAAATCCAACACCAGTGCAAAACTCTTCTATGACGTTACCCACTTGTGGCGAAGCAAAGAGCATGTTTAGATCTGCAGCACGGCACGTGTTCAATGTGAAATGCATTGGAATGTGCACAGTACAGTCCCCCCCTTCTACCCCACTGAAGGAACAGAACAGAATAGTGTTGGATGGAATCAGAAAACCACAAGCCTAGAATAATTAACTCATTGGGTAGGATGGACATTAAGTACAAAACGCAGCATTACTTCTGACATGCGCAAGACAAATAATAAAGCCCTTCAGTGAACTTCAGTGTAGTGCGAACTTCATGGCCTAAGAACCAGCAAACCACCAACTGCCTAAGTGACATCCACTCAAAAGAATGTTCCAAATACGGTGAAGAACCAGGCCCTAGAAGGCGCCTGGTGAACCAGTGGAATGGTTCTTAAGCACATTGGAACAGAAAGAGTTGCCCCAGTAAGCCCCAAAGCAATTCGGGGATCCCGACATGAACCAATTCATGAATTGTTTCAAGGATTCATACAAATCCAAAACAGTCTACGGCTGTTTTTCTTGCATGCTAGGGTGCTGCACCCCGACTTCCTGTCCCAAAAAAACACGTGTGACACTCTTCATCCGAGTTGCTTTCAAGACCAAGGCCTGTGGGAGGAGGTCCTCTGCTGCGCCTGTGGGCCACTCCAGTGTAAGTCGTCGCATGCTGGAGAGGAAACCGCCCTCACCGAATGCTTCCGCCTCCACCTCCAGTGCCAGGGAAGGGGTTGGCTCGGGTAGGATGCAAAGATATGCAAAGAGCTTGGTGCATCAAGGTGCCGTTCAATTTATTGAGCAATGTTTTGCAACACCTCTCAGGTGATTCATCAGGAAGAATCGGATTTGTTGGGCGCGAATGGGCTTTGCTGGAGTGTCTATGCCACCACCCCAAGTGCGCATGCAACAGGACAACTGGCAGAAACAACAGGACAGCTGCTGTGAGTTCTTTTATGTTCTTCCCTCTTCAGGCATTTTGGCAGATGCCAACCATTGCATACCATCGCCACCCATCCCCACATCATGTAGACTCTTGATTCATAAACCCCCGGCAATTGACAAATTATCTTCAGGCTTGGAGGGGTTATTAATCAAGAGTCTGCCTTCAGCGCCTTAAGCGGCACCACCCCGAAGGTCTCCTCGAACCATCCGTCGTTCACCGCCTCAAAGATCCCCTCCATGGCTGTAAACCACCGCCGCTCCACCACGAACGAGTCCAGTGGCCGAAAAAGGATCCGAGCGATTTTGGTTTTGACCTTTTTGGACTGGTGTAATCTTGAGGGGAGAGAAGACCTGCAGCAAAAGGACACCCAGTTTGACCTGCAGAAAAATCAGAAAACAAACAGTCTCCAGTTGGCTTCACTTGGAACACTGGCACATGCAATCGCACAGTCCTGCACCATGCTGCGCCCAACTTGTAGTGACTTCTGGTCAAACCACAACTTCGATTGAGAATTGAACGTCTCGGTGGCAAGCGGACTGCCTTCCACACAAACCCTCCCAACGGGATGTATATGTATATACACACAAAACTGGCCACAGGGATTAAAAGCCTTAGGGGATGGATTAATCAAAAGGAAGCCGCATCACTGCTGGCCTGGTTCGCTTTGAGAATCATTCTGCGTGTTTGATGTCTCTCACTCGAGGGCTTGAGCCTTTGAGAACCACTGGCTGGTCTGGCTAGCAGTTTGGCCTCGCCTCCATCTTCCTTTTTGTAACCGAAAGTGGAAGGAAATGAGGCTCCCAAACCCAGCTTCAATCCCAAACTCTGGAAGCGTCCGTCGCTTTTGGGCCACCCCACCGAGGGTGCCTACGCCAGGCCTGGGCACAAATGGGATGTGAGACCCGAAGTCACTGACCAAACCAATGCCTATAGAGTCTATAGAGACATCCACACAGGACCAAGGACCGAGGACGCGGGTGATAGCAGACACTTTGACCACCTGGATGAGCGCTTGTAGGAGCCCTACTTAGTTGTAAGATGTTGTAAGTGTTCATGTGTCCAACGGTTGACTTGGTGCACCTAAAGAACTGCCACCAGTGACCTGTGAAGAACTGCCCTGACCGTGGTTTTCTCACCGGGTGGCTCTCCACAGGGCTCGGTTGCTGGAGGATTTGGTCCAAGTGATCCTTAGCCAACAAGCAGCTGAGGAAAAGCACGAGGAGAAGCATGGCTCCATCTCTTTCCCGAGGTCAAACTGGAAGGTGGCTGCTGGTTTTCAAGTGGCTTTCGAGGGGTTCTACTTCAGAAACTGCCACAGGCCATTCTTCCTGCCTTCGTCAGTGTCACAAAGAAACGCATGCTCACAAGTGCTCCCTTTCAAGTCATGACAACTTCTGACATCTTAGGTAGGTGAGCCATGCCTCGTGACTAAGTGATCCATCCAAGACATCCACCAAAAACACACCAGAAGAGCGCCCTTCCCCCCTTCCCCCCTTCCTTCCACCTTCCCGGCTAGGCCGAAGATCATCCCCTGTGTTGTAGACATGCACCTTCTCGTGGTAGAGCACCTTGCCCGCCAAACCACTGGAGGGTCCATGGAAGTGATCGACAATGGGATCCTCGATCACGGTGGGCGTCATGAATCCAGCTTCCTCGGGCTGTCAGTGAATGAGGCGCCGCGGAGAACTCGTCCGCGGCCTTTGTTGGGGTCGAAACATGACGATATTTTCGGTGAAACCTGGTGAAACTCTATATATACTCACAGGTGTGTTCACGCAAAAAAAGGAGAAACTGCTCTTCCCAAAGAATATTAAAGAATCTTGGAGGCCTTAACTCATCTACAGTTACACGATATTACAAGTGCAGTCATCCCGAATATCCTTTGCTCTAGGTCTATAGGTTGCTTCCCTCACCCCCCACCCCACACAAACTCGCATCCAAGCGTCGTGGACATGAGGCACGGGCGGAGCCGCTGGCGCCGCGATCGGCGCTGCGATCGGCGCCGCGGGCGCCTCGATCGCGGGCGGAAGCACCAGGTTCTCGGCGTCGGAGTCCGCGTGCACCTGGTGTGCCGTGCGGAATCCGCGGCATCCGCGGCCGTTTTGAACGTCCTTTCATCCTGGCAGATTGAAAACACATGGCAGCTGGAATGTTGGAGTGATGTCCTGTTGGAATGTTGGTAGTTCCCCAATGAAGGTCTCAAACATGCGGAAGTAACCATCCGAACCAATACACCTTCGAGGACTCTCGGAGCACCCCACAGCCCACCGCAAGAAGGAGCAAAGCAGCCCATATGTATGTAGAGTGTGTGTATATATATTTATATATATATATAATAAATATATGTACAACTATACCAGGACCCACAAGGTTCATGGACACCCCTCAACCTCGAACTTCAAGGGGCTATAAATAGACACCCCTTGGGGGGTCTGTTACAAGTTACTCCTTCCACCTCCAGTCCTCAACCCCTCTTACCTGCTAATACCGTATTAGCCATCCAACTAGCCAAGCACCTGAGCATTTTCCGAAGGGCCATGATATTCGAGACGCCCACACACAGCTCTTAGTCAAACAGCTTTGGCTTTTCTGAACAAAAGAGTTTGGTTTGGAGTGGAGCCATCACTCTCCCAGGCACCGGGAGAAACGCCACGTGATGATCATGAAGGCCATCATGGCTTTCTTCACCTGATCTCTGGCTGGCAGAAATCTGGGCAATGGCGGCACACCAAAGGCAGGCAGGAGAAGGTTGATTGGCATCCAAAGCTAGCTAGCCAACTTGCGGGCTGTCTACAACAGGTTGGGATACCAAACTCACGTTGACGGGCACAATACAGATTGGAACACGGCACTCATCGACCAAACGACTGGTGGCAAAAAGGTAATTAGTTATTCAGGGCTGGGAAAAGACTTGTGAACGCCTGTTGATCCTAATCACACCTACCTTAAGCCTTGGCCACGCCGTCTCCAAGTGGTTCGTTCAGCACTTTTTGATGCTTCCCAAGTCGGTCACCGGTCACCGAGCCCACGGTACATCTATCAAAGCCGTCTCCGTTCGGCACGGACCGCGTCCCGGTGCGCCACGCGTCACCACGCGTTCCGCTGGACCGAGGCGCCCAAGGTGTATGAGATCTGACCTTGTGGCTTCTCCTGAGCACAGCCTGGCGGTTCCGCCCGGCGTAGCACCGGCGACACCGGCTACCTCCAGCATCGTGTCAGAACTGTTGAACCTGCGAAGGCATAGCTATAGCTGAAGCCTAGCAGCTACAAAGACTCCAAGACCTTTTACAGTACAACATGGATGGCCTGGGTTTTGTAGTCAAGTCCTTAGTAAAGCAATGGTTGTTCGGTAAAGACCCTTGAAACAATGGTGATTCAAATCCTAGGGTGAACTGAATGCAAATCATTACAGGCCTAACAACCCCACCAGTTCGCCCTGCCACTCCCTGCCTTTGCCCAGGTGCCCGCAACACCACTCCTGGGCTCTTCTATGCGGCGATTTGCAGCTTTCGTCACCCTCCACAGTTTCTGCCAGCCGCTGAACCCAAGCGATTTGCATGCGGCGTGCTACATGACATGCATCAGGAGGGGCCCCTCATCTTTGCGGGCCTGTGCTTTGGAAAAACTGCATGTATGGCGAGAACACTGGCAATCCCTCGTCAAGCAAAGCAGCGGCAGCAGCAGGCAGCAGCAGCAGTTCAAATAGAAATCTAGCAGTTGCAGTTGCAGCCAGCGCTGGAAGCACCGCCAGCGGCAGCTGGAAAGCAGTCGTGTTAGATTCCGATGGTCGCACCACGCTCGCCTGGCCTGCTTCTTCAGGGTCCAACCGGTCTGCCAGGATTGAAAGCCTTCGTCACAGTCATAGCGGGCTTTGACCGTGGAGAAGCAGCCCACACCTGACACCCACGAGGTCACTGGATTGTCTCCGGTCGGTGGCAACATAGATCGAGAAGGTGATGCCTTTTGGAGATGTGAAGCATTTGAACGTTTGGGGTCATACTGAGTGGACCAATAGTGGGCCGATCTCTAAAATGCAGCTTGAGCCTGACACTTTTATGTCATGTTCGGCGAACGGGGCTGATCCATCTATGATGGGATCACACAAGACACGTAAACGCTGTCTTGGGACGACGTGACGCCCATTCTTCTCATGCTTTTCTCCCCTTCCGTCACCAAAGCCGCCACGTCTTCCGTTGGGCTCCCCCAGCTGTGCCGGCTGCAGCACCAGGCACGGCGCATCTCAGCCCAGCCTGGAGGCATTCCTCTCTCAGGTGTCGTGAGATGGGTGTGTATTAGGATAGGGAGACCTCCCAAAGATTTGGCTGGAAGAAGGGATGGTTGGGGGTCTCCCTATGAAATACCACACCCAAATGGTTGAGAAACTATTATCCCTCGGATTGATCATGGTTGAGCATCACCTCCAGCACAGGATCATGTGATGTCAGGTGTTTTGGTTGGATGCTGTCGACCCAAAAAGCTAAACACATGTGACAGAACATGTTGAAACTAAATATTGATGTGAGTGAGCATCTCTTTAAAAGCCTCTAGATCTGCAAACAGTCTTAGACTGGGCATCAGTGTCACAAGTTCGGATCGTCCGCTGAAACCCCGACCAGAAGCCCCAACTGACTACCGAAAACACCAATTCGGAAAGCCAGTCAGCCAGTGTCATGACTTTGGCACTTGCCATGCTTCATAGTTGTCACAATTTATCACCTCATGGTGTTTTGGGATGTTTTTGGGGGAGGGAGGCCTGTCTTGCAAATTTGCCACTTGGGTCGAACAGAATGGGCCCAGCTCTGCCCCAGCTCTGAGCTTCATGCTTTTCGACCGATCCACCGCGCTACGCGATCGGGGCCTTCAACATGATCTTTGCCAGTTGCGCAATCATAAGTGACTCCCATGGTCGTGCTCACCACGACCGGGCTGTGGAGGACTGCTATGTCTGAGGCGCAAATGCCCTGGCCAGGCCGATGCAGAAATGGCAGGATAAGGATTTACGGAGGCCCCAGCATCAAGACGCCCACCTTCCGCCTACTCAACACCTCTCAGTTAAAGCTCATCTCTAACACATCCCTGCGTTCAACAAATAATGGTTGATTGGTCGACACGGCCCCAGAGTCCCTTGCCATTGGCGGATGGCACATGACACGGCAAATTCGTACATGCACAATGTGCCACCATGTGCTGCCCTTGCTTTGGTTCTGGACTATCTGCCCTAGAAGCCAAGAACATGGAGAAGCGGTGCCCTAGGACCCTAGGACAACATCAAAGGGCCATCACTTGTATACTGTTAAACACATGTAAAGGCCATCAGGTCCTGGAAAACGACGCCCCACAAAACATTGGTAAAACAAAGGGCCTGTTGCCTGATATTCTACTCCCCCACGGTCGGCCAGGCTTTAATCATGTCCCCGTATGTCCCAGTCCAGATGTTCCAAAAGGTGGAGCCCCAAAGCCACCGATGTCTGGACTTTGTCGAAACATACCCAGCGGTGAAAGCCTCATGGACTGGATCTCATGTGGCCCGGTATGTTTCCGGTGGCACTGATCTTGCACAAGTGCTCTTAAAAAGGCACCCCGAATCAGGTGTCTTTTCCGAATGACGGCTCCAAACACTTCGGAGAGAGAGAGAGAGAGAGTTAGAGCACACCCCTTCCCAGCGCCTGTGAGCTGCAACAGAATTGCCGCTTTTCCTGGGGCCAATACCTTGGGACCGAGTATCAAAGGTGCCTGGTGTTCCAATTCCATGATTCAAAGAGAAGGCACCAAGAACTATGTCCAACCAGGTGCATGTTACCTTCACTGTTTTGCACACGTTGACCTCAAGAGGGATCGGATCTGTGTCCGCGGCATTCTTTGAATCTCGTTGAAGAGATTCATGATGGCACCTGTCGACCCCAGGCGACGGGCGCCACGGATCCAGGTCAGACCGGTGTGCCAAAGCGACCTTCTGCAGCACCAAGCTTCACTGGGAACATGGAATAGCAGCGTCAACATCGCAGGTGTCCACATAACACCAAAACAAAGCCCTGAAAATGGATCTGGGAAAGTATAGGTATAGACGGCATAGATCTATACATGTTGCCTTTTGCCTTTTATGAAGCTATGAGCCTTTAGCATCAAAAAGGTGGTGCACATAGTCATAGGTGTATACACATTATGTGCCATTGCAATGACGAGTGTCAAATCAAACACATTTGCTATGATTGTCCTATATAGATTTGCCAGGCTATATACTACCTAATCTACCTATACTATACTATACTATCTTATACTATCCTATACTGATACTGATGCTTTGCTTTTGTTACTCCGGGCGGCGCCTTGCCCATGAGCAGCAACCTGAGGCTGATGTTGGTTGGAATAACGACGCAGCAGCAGGAATTATTGACATGTAAATCAATGGCGCAAGTAGCCTCCAGCAAAAAAGTGATGATCGTTTACAGCTGTTGGTTACTAATTATGGTGCTGCAAAAATAGGATCTCTAATTCAACATTGTCAAGAGAAAAAATTTTTAAAATATACGTTACCCTTCATCCAAGAGGGCCCGTATGATCTAGTAGCTGACGCATCCCTCATGCAACACGGACCGGCGGATACCGGCGGACCAGCGGGCCCTGCAATTAAGGGGATGAGCTAGGGTGCGAGGGGAACCAAACAAGTGATTGGCAGATTGTTCTCCCCTTCTCCATCCTTTTCCTGTGTAGGTCACTGGGGCTTAGGTTGAAACACACCAACCTCCTTCATTTGCCACACAACGGTCGCTTGGAGGCGCACGCCCGCATCGCCCTGCTGGCGATCCATGGGGCTGTCACACAGTGCAAATCAAGCACCAATAGAGCCCTTACCTGTGGATGATCGTAATGGCTATGACCTCCGGGTTTTAATCGGGTCCGGCACATGTGCCCCCGCCCCCCAAAGAAGAAAAAACCTCTCGGGTCACCCGGCCAGTGCCAGGCCGGCAGCAAACTCCTCACCTAGGTGAAGCACAAGTGGGTGCAAAAAAGCAGGTCACCAGCTCAGACTTCCGGAACCCGAAGGAACTCTAGAGATCTCTCATCCGAGCCTAGAGCGAGAGAACCCTAAACCTCCTGAGAAAGTGTTCTGGAGGTTTAGGGGGAAGGCAATATAAGGCAATCATCTGAAAAAATGTGGAAAACCCAGTGCGACTCATAGATTCCATTACATCTCCATGACCAGGGACTCTCTGTAGCTAAGGAGGCTCCTCCCCCAAGCAAGCATCCGCATCCCATCCGTGGCTGGCTTTGACACAGGTTGAACCGTGACGATCAATACATGCATACAGCTTGTCCATCTCCATCTCTTCAACACCAAGGCTCAAGTAACTCTCGGGTCTAGGAGCCTAGGGTCTATATATGATCACTTTCATCAGTTCCTCTCATGTCATTCCATCCCCTCCACCAATTTTCCGGGTCTTTTCACGTCCAGGATGCGGTCCAACGCGCCATCGGAGTTGGCATCAGCAGCCCAGAGCTGTTGGTCAATGCTGGACTTTAAGGACCTGGCAGCTATGGCGGTCGTTTCGCACTCGGGATGGTTTGTTGTTGGGAAACGACAGGAGGCCAAGAACCTCTGGTTGGTGACATGTTCTGACCGGGCAACGGAAGGGGATGCTCCTTTTGCTCAAGATTGAGTCCGCCAGTGGGTGTCCACAATCTCTTGTGGCACGGCGTCGATCAATGAAGAAACACAGCCCTCCACCTATTTAAAAAACATGGCCTCCCCCCTTTTAACAAAAACTCGGGCGATATTGTTTAAAATGTTTAAATAGGGGGTCCCTGAAATCGGGGTCGTCCAAAATAGGGTCAGTGGGAGGATCCTTGAATCATTGATTACCCAAAAAGACACCCAGGAAAACTTTATATAAATCCTTTATTCAACTCGTATCAAAAATTGAAAAATAAAACTCCAGATCGAAGGGTCTTCCCTTTACAAAAGCAACTACAGCTTTCGAAAGGTGAGTCCGTGCCATTGGGGTAAGGAAAACCTGCTGGTGTAAACGCGGCGTGTCATGGTGGATAGACACGGTGGACAGAGGTGGGCAGCTAGGGTTGTTTTTGGAACCTCAAAAATTTAGTTGGTAGTTTAGTAGCGGATTTAGAGGGCGGTAATTTAAACACACATATACAGTATAATATATATAAACGGTATTTAGGGGGTTTCCGACATGGGGCTTTTAATCAAAAAGGGGAGTGGTTTTTAATTAGGCACTGGGGATTACAGTATGTGATGTTCTTTGCTTCTGTGTTTTTCTGCACTTCGACCGGCGATCACCGTTGGAGCCGAAGCACCCATGACGCTGAAGAAAGCCCATCTCGATCTTGGTGACCTTGTGGTCCTCAGCGTTCCAACACCCCATTCCCACGGTCCGAAGACTGAAAGCGGGACCTCTCTGCAAGAGGATTGCCTCCAAGAAGAGTTCCCATATAGTTCAAAGGTGAGGTGAGCAATTCCCATAAGCAGGTTTCACTGACACGGCGCTCACTTTTTGTGCGCACGTCGATCGCATCGGCCGCGGAAAACGCGGTCCAATCTTCGGCATGTGACCAGGGGCCCTCATGGGGCCCTTGGGGAGGCCCGCGAATCACATGTTGGATGATGTCGGTGGACACAGGGAGAAGCTTAAGTGACCACCTCCCGAATGAGAAGAACCTTAAGTGTTCTGGATGCCATTGACCAAAGTGAGAGTGCTCGAAGCTCAAGCCTTGTGATGCCCCGTGGGTGCAAGGAAACATGGAAATGTTTGGAGGTCTTTGGTTGTCGTTGCCCATGCTGGCAACCAATCTTGAAGGCAACCAGGTGGGGGTTGGGAATGATGAGCCCATGTGCCTTGTACCAAGTAGTTGTCTGCAATTCAGTTTTTATCATGCAGCTGGTTGGGACCGCGGGTCAGCACCCAGTTTTGACCATGGTCACATGCCTCCGCTTCCTTTAATTGTCAAGCCTGGGGGTCTTGTGCCCACAAAGAACGCATTGGTCCTTTCTCAGGTGCAAGCGCGGGGAACCAAAGACATGGACATACCTCGGCGTGCTGGGCAGCTGGACGGGTATGGGCAAGACTCCCTACAGTATGACTTCGATAATCTTGGATTTGTTAAAGGAACCGGAAAAATAAGGACTAAAAAGGGGAGCCCCTAGTAGCGTCCTTGTTGCCAGTAGTAAGGCCAGGAGCCC